TGAATTCCTGTGAGTGTTACGGAGGTGTAGTGCTGTGCCTTAGTGCAGTGCTCACCAGTGTCCTTTGGATACAGTTCTCGGCCTCCATGGATTAGCTGCACCAGCTCCGGTGAGGATTCCCAATTTATTAATTGGTGAAGGGATCTCGATAGATAGTTAAGATTCGTTCTGATACGTTCTCGGTTCGTCGCTCTCTGTCTCTCGCACTATTTGCCGGACTCTTACTCCGACCCTCTCTACCTCAAACCTAGCAGCCTGAGCGGCCGTGCATTTCCGTAACCGTCCGCTCCCGTTCGTGTATTCAGTTGCGTTTGCTGATTTTACGCGACCCCAAAGATCAGCACCTACGGTTGCGTTTCTCGATTTTACGCGTCCCCAAAAATCGACAGGATCCGTTAAGCTATCGCCTCGTCCGATAGGTTCCGTCAGAGCTCTCGTTCTTGGTGGAGTTGGGCCTGTTCCACCCCAACTCCCAGTTTATACCGGCTCGTCAGTTCCCGGTGAAAAAGGAATTGGGTGGCGCCCGCCTGGCTTGCGGATGCACGAACAACGGGTGGACGGCTGAAGATAACGTAGGTTGGTTCTCGAAGATAGTTCGTTCTCGTATGTTTTGCTATCAGTGTCGGGTCAAGGAAAAGAATTACGTTACAAATGTTATGGCGAATAAGAATAGGAAAAAGAAAAGATCTGTATTATAATTGTAATTTACTTATTAAATAAAATAATAAAAACAAATAGCGAAATTCTAATAAACATTTGATCAAGTTAGAGATATCTATTCAAAATACACTAATATTAATATTACATCTGACTGTCACTATACAAATTTTCAAAAATTAATATTAAATTTCAATTAATTATAAAACAAATATAGAACTCACGCATAACCCATTCTTCTTCACAAATTTAACAGTCGGGAAATATACATATGACACGTAATAAAATTTACATAAGAATGTGATGTTAATTAAAAGTAAAATACGTGTTACGCTGTTGATCCATTCTCTATGTCCTTTCAATCCCTGTTCCCATCATCGAACAAGTCGTCGAATTGTAGTATTATTTCATCCTTCAAGTGGGATTTGTCTCATCATGTCGTTTAGCAAATCATCCTTGATATATACAATATGATTCCTTGGATGAGCGATATTGGGTATCCAAGATAGGATCAGATTTAATTGAGTTATCTTCCTTCGATGATGCGGAATATCAATAATGAATCTGCGTTTCGTTTGATCAACGCCACGTTTTTAATTATTTTCGGCAGGTGTACTCTTTATGTCCACACGACTCGACTATCTCCCCACGACTAGCCCGGTACCGGACAAGACAGTCGCCAGTAAGCCGATGCTCGTGTCTGATTGTTTATTATGGATGATACCTAGTGACACCAATTATACTACTATATAACTACGAACGTAGGCAAATACACGGTCGGTAAGATTATTTGCCCATCGACTTTGCCGATACCACTATTAGTAACGGGCGCGTTACAGTATGGGTTCGACAATGGATATTAAGGCGATCCGAATACGGTAGTTTTCATAATTTGTTCACGGAACTGCAAATAGAAGATTCTCAACAATATTTTAATTTCATTCGTATGACTGCTGTGGATTTTGAAGTTTTATTAAATAATCCTTCGCAATGATAGTGAATACCGCTTTTTTCTTTATTCTATTCTTGTAGTCTGCGTCCCGGCAATCCCACAAGCAAGAGTTGCATTCATATATCTCTATTCGCTACATCATCGCGAGACCGTTCGCGTTCCTTTAGTTTACTCATTGCGAAGAAGAAATAGGAAATTACCGGATAATAACAAACAAAAACTGTCACTGCAAGCGCTAGATATTCCAAACTAGTCCTATTGCGCGCAACATGCGTTGCAAGTCGGCGCTCACGTGTTTACACATGCAATTTATCGCGCCTGCAAGAACTCATGGCAAGTGCTCAAAAACTGTCGCGATCGCGCTTGTAGTACAGTTTACATGGGCTAGTTGCTATCCGCCAGTCTGTCAGACATTTCTCGCAGAAGTTTTCTTGCCTGTAGAAACGCGGCCTAATACTTTAGCTTTCATGTGTCAGAAACAATTACTAAAAGAGATATTTGAAAAAAAGCTACATATAGGGCCTGGATGTCACGTATACACCCGACGCGAGTATCGAACTGTTTAAAAGTATTTAGAATATCATATGACTGCCTGTTGTCAAAATATTAGTTTAAAATTGAACATGTTTTCGCGTGTTATCACATACGATTTAGACTCACCCGGTAAGATTGCCGGAAATGCAAGAAGTGGAATTGCTATCACAAAGCAAATTACTGCTACTGCTAGAAAGCCTATCCACCAGGCACCAACCCAGACGTTGCTGTCAGGCGTCAATCCGAGTCTGAAACGCAATCAATCGTTAATTACGTTTTGTGACATGCGTATATATGTATGTGTATATGCACATAGAGAATGTATGCGTAATTTCAGTGTATAGCTTCAGCAACTCATAACACATTGATCTGGGAGCCCTCTGGCCACCACAGCTGTCAATCGCAGATACCAATTACATTTCACTTAATATATGTTGGTTTATAAAAAAGAGACAAAGTTACATACCAGCAATTACTTTTGTACATATATGTATAAATGCCTAATTGTTATTAGAATATTTATCGATTCAACACCTAAAACTGGTTCACGTTCGTTTGAAATCACAGTATGGTTCACACAGTAGAAATCACAGTAGAAAAATATGAACCATATTTTTTCTGCTTAATTGTCAAATCGCGATGCAAATAAGTGCTTATTTAATTATTAGTAGTGACAATTTACTTTAATATAACTGAGTACATAAACGATACCCATAGTGTTAATACGGTTAATTAATTAACGATGTCTGCTATTAGACGGTTGATTAAATTTAAACGAAAAGATTAAACAGCTAAATGATTGTTAAAAATTTTAATGAAATTATGAATTTCAAAATGGTTTGATTGCCCAGAACTCGTTGAATGTATTGAACAGTAATCCGAACACTTTCACAAATGATACTCCTTTTCTATAACTAGGAAAGTTTCTTTCAGAGCAATAAGCGTCAAATAGGTCACGTACGTAAAGCGCGAAACTACATTGGGAACGAGCACAATAATTGTAGGATTGAAATTTTTAATTCCATCTCCACCTTCCTCCATAAAATATGGATTTTTGACATTGTATATCGAAATAATAGCGATGGAAGCGACCAGTGATCAAAGTATAATTTTAATAAATGTAGCCAAGATACAGTTCATGGGATATTATATTTTACCTGTGTAAAGCGCCAATATTGGTGACAAAAGCACATTAAAATTTCTCTAGTAGATACCGAAGCCTATCTATACTTGATTGGTAAACAGAAATTCATGATCTAATTTAGAAGCCCAATAGTATTTCATTGATCCATCAGCGGTCGTGATATCTTCCCAGTAAAGAATGATTTCGCGATGAGAGATTCCCTCACGTTCAATAATTAATTAATAGAGTTAAATGAATCAAAAAAAAATTATCAATTTTCGATTGAAATTAATTTAAATCTTATACGAAAAATTGATTCAGTGCCCTAGCCAGTCGAACAAGTTCAAGCGTTCTTGAAGTTGCCGACTTTTACCGAACAGTGTCGAGAGTGGCTCATTCCGCAACTTACTTTGTGTATGTGACAAGACAAACTCTCACAGTTTGCCGACGGTTTACAACCCGACTGTTTTGTTATTGATAAACAGGTTTCAAAGAAATAAAAAAAGTATTAAATTTCGATTGAACAACATATTTTTTGAAGATAGAAAGAATTTGAAGTATTCAAGCAATTTGAAATTTGAATGATATCGATTTGAAAAAAAAAAATTTGAGAGAAAGTCTCATGACGCGACCGGTGACGTGGTAAGTAATTAATTGAAAAATGGTTCCATTTTAAACCGTTTGAAGGGTAGAACAAAAAAGTGTTTTTAACTAAATCAAAAAGTCCTATGAGTTTATTTTTATGAAACGTCATGCGAGTTTGGTCATCTCCATTTATATTCTACGCGATTGGAGAGTGGGTGATTGATAATTTGGATAACATGGAAGCCTAGTCACGTTTCAATTATTAAATGAAACCAGTAAACAATCCGGTGATCACACACACTCTTCTATTGCTCCCCGATTTTCCGTCCTTCCCACTGTTCTCATTTGCAGTCTCGTTTTTTCTTGCCGTTCTCCGCAAGATCAGATTATTTGAGCCGTGGAGAGTGATTGATTACCAGAAAATGGCTGACTAACTGACGGTTCATCGCTTAAGCCAACTTAATCCTTGAACGTACCAGCCGAAAAGCTTCGCTCTCTCGTGGATCACCCCTCACGTTTCTCATAAAGTTCTAGAGTCACGGTTTCTGAAACTTCCGGCTTACAATCTGAGTTCACCCTATTTCAAGACGTCCACGGTATCATAGATTTAGAACTTATAGATATTATTTAATGCGTGAAGCTGTGCAATGATATGTACGATAATTGTGCAATTATTCAAATGATAAATTTATTTTCATTTTATTTGATCTTTTTTTCTTTATTGATTTTTTCCTCTTATTTGCACATAAAGATCGACGGGAAGCCTGCGTAGATGAAGGACATCATTCTATGAATATTTACCATCAAAAGTCTCTATAGAGAACTTTTTATTACGTGTTTGAAGAGGTCTAGTCAACTTCCGGCAGCCGCGTCTCTTACACGATTCGTTCCTGGTTCGTCGTGCATTTCTTTAATGGGGTTTCAATGAGCCCCTATCTGTCGTGGGAGATCTATCACATTAGCTGTCGCTACACGTTCTGTTTTTTCCAATGCAATCAACTTCTAAACAATATATGCATTCGCTTTAAATACAAATGCTTAGAATCATACGGTCTACACATCGTTGTTTATTATTTATAAGTAAACTAAAATTTGAGTAAGTCCAAAGCTTACGCATTCATATAAGTATATATTATAATTGTTTTATTCGTAATTGTTTAAGTTATAATATGTGTAAGGTAAACATAGGGTAGATGCCCTATCTAAAGAAAATAGCCTACAATAATATCAGTTTGTTTCAGAATTTAAATAAATGAAAAAATGCATACCAATTAATAATTCCTATTATAAATAATTGTAATTTTTAATTAAACAAAAGCTATTATTTTAAGAAAAATAATGTTTTTAGTTACCATCATTCTCGGGAATAAATACCCACACCATAGGATAGATGCCCTATATGCAAGGAAAGATGCCCTACGCAAATGACTTAAAAAGAATATAACACAATTGAGGTTAGGATCTCAACTACTTCTTCTTAAAAATCTAATTATGTATGGGTATTAATTGATATTCTTTAAAAAAATAGCATAACACAATTGAAAAAGAATACTCAAATATTCATTTAATTAAATAAAAAGAAGTTTTCTTGCCTAATATAAGTATATGTATACTCGAATAAACATATTGTAGAAAACTTAACTAGGTTGTACCTAATAAATATAAATGTTATAATATTTTATAAATAAATAAAAAAAGAAAAAACTATAATAGAATAAAAAATAACTGAATAGAAGCATATGTTACCATGTGCACTTTCGAGAATACACGTATTAAATATTCTAACAGTTCTTCTCGTATGAAATAACCTCGACTCCGATCTTTCTACTAGTCGTTGGAGGGCTCAGTAAACGTTTGCTATGATTGCTTGGAGGAAGAAAAAAAAGGCTAAAATAGTTGCGAAGAGTGGAAGCACTCCGGTCGTTATTTGCAGAGCAAACTCCTTTTACTCGGCAAAAGTTTGTGATTTTTTCGCAAAGGTTTAGAGGGGCTTGAGGAAACATAAAAGACTAAAAACAAACCGTCGTCCAAATATACATATGAAACAGGCGCTTTAAAGGTATTCTTTCCATGAGAATGAGTGTTAAATGGGTACCTAAATATGGTATATCTTGAATATACAGTGTAATCAGGAACATGAGTATGAAAAGCCAGGTGAAGTCACCGGTACTTTACAAGACAAAATTAATGTTAAAAGTCAAAAGTTTTAACATAGTCTCTTATAGGAAAATCGCCGCGGCCACGCTTCTATGTAATGAATTTTAAGTAATGAATTCTACCGCATATGGTGACTTGGACGAAAACATTGAGTCCAGCCGCACTACTGTCATAATATTTAAAAAGTCAGTAAATAATGAAATATAATGAATTCATGCGTGCAAACTCATATTTTATATTGCTATAATCATTAGGATGTTGTAATATTTTTGTTTTCAATTATCTCATAATGGACTATCATTTGACTTAATATACTACCTAAAGTGTATTCAAAAACGTTTAACTATTGGCAATAGTAGTCACGTAACATATGTAGGTACATAACACAGAGCGCAATAATTGCATTATACAGTTTGATTACTACGGAAATTATACTCACGTTATTATTTCCTTGTCATACAAGATTACCCGGAATAGATATATAGTTAGAACTATATAGATATGTAGCCATTAAAGACTGGTTTTTCCGCTCACTTCGCAGGGAGACTGAAATTGAAATGCGTGCCTGTCTGAATTATTTGTGCACGACGCACGTTCTGAAGAAGGCCGCTATATTATATTATCAGTACAAAATTTTTTTATTTGAACACGATATTTGTAGTAATGTTTACAGCACATATAGCGATATACTCTTTAATAAGCCAAGCCAGAAGATAAAGTCACGGAGCGTAGAAATCATGAATTACTTAAATTTGATAGAACAATTTTACTCATAGGTATCAAACGCGCTTTGACACAAGCCTAACAATTCTTTAGATTGCAGTTTCAAATGAACAATCAAGAAATTAATGAGTGATCCGTTCCGTTCCGTTCCAATTTGCAATGTACGAGCAAGAAGCACCTATTTATTTTACATTGATCATATAAATATATATAATATTATGCAAATAATATCTCGTTCTGAAATTTGGAATATGATGTTCATTGACTTGTAACTATGCTGCATATATACCTATCTACAAAGAGATTATGATGTCTGGAATATTTTATTCTGTCTAAAGTCATAGGTGCAATGCCCCTCAGAAACATATTAAGTTCGTGAACGATTCTTACGTTACATAAGGGATACGTAAATAGTTTCTAAGAAACATTAAACGGTGATATTTATAGAAAAATCATGGAGACGCAAAGAGAGTTTTTTTATTCATAATTAATATTTTGACGTATCTATGGTATGTCGCAATGACGACTTTTCTGTATCAGTTGAGTAAATAATCAAAGCGCGGAGACCGCTCGCATGAATTATATGTACCCGTAGAAATATATATACAATTATACATATACATAAAAATATCTATGCAGTATAATATATAGGATTATGCACTTAACCTAACTTAAGACATTAACGATTCAACTGTATAGAGAGAAATGCCATTTTGTACGCCTATCAAAGATTATTAAGAAAAATAATTAAGTGTTAATATGTATGATTTTAGCCGGAGCGTAAATTCACGCAATATAGCCACGCAACCACAACTTGCTGGAAAATTTACGCGTTCTCCCCAATATCCCACCGTCCCTGAACTTCGACATATTCGTTGCGCGTGTGTGCCCGTTTGTGTAAAAACTCCCCTAAATACCATTGGAACCCATAATACGGGGGAGATTAATCGTGCATGTAACCCCACGTTTATTCCGTGGGGAAAATGTCACATGGTTAACCAATGTTTGAGAATGAGATCCCTCCGCCTCAACCCTCTTGGAAATGGTACAATCATTCGCTGGCTCTACTATTCATTCATATTTTCTGACACCCTCTCCCTCGTGCCTATTCAAGTTTCTTTTTTCTTTCGCTTCTCACAATATCTATGTTTGAGATATATGCTTTTGAAACTTTATGTATTTCCTGTTGAATCATGCGCATCGTCACCCAATTGTCACCATCTACTAATATATCCCGTCGAAACTCATTCTACCCTGGCGTTTAATGTACCGGTTCAATAGGCCTTTTATGCATTCATGCGTTAAGGAGACGCAACAAAGGAAGCTAAGTGAGTCCAAAGACGAAGTCCGAAGTCTAGAGACAAAGTACTGATGGACATGCATGCTTGTGACGTAGCAGTTTAGTAAGCTCAAAATGTAAGAAACTCTTTTCATATTGATATAAAATTGTCTGATGGCATGATATTTTTTCTGGTTTAATTTTAGTAGCCATCTATTTGCGCGCAGGAGAAAATATAACTGAAAATTTGTGTCTACGAAAAAGTAAAACGGACGTTGAATGTTTCCTTAAATAATTTTCTGCGCCTCTATTTGCTGAAATAAAAATGCGAACATACATTGACCCATGAAGAACCTTTCTATTTGATTTTCGTTAAGGAACAGAATAAAATAAACTTGTTTTCATTCGACACGTAGACTTTGTATAATTTCTTTACGTAACATTACAGTATATACGACTGTATGCACGTGTACGTTGTGTGAACGAAACGCACGTTGACATTGTCCAAGGTGGATGCGAACAACCAATAACTCGTAAAGAGAATTTAATAAAGTTGCAGTAGTAAAAGTACGAACCGCTTTGCCAATAAACAGGAAACATGAAATACACTCAACACGGGACGTTACAAATTTATGAACAAAAATTCATTCGATTTTCATACTTAAATCATTTAGTTAAGAAGGAACTGTGAATATAAGTGAGAAATTTTGAGTCATTTAAGAGATAAGTATATGGTTTATTTCCCTACAATTTTAAATTACGATTGGCAGAAACAAATAAAAAATTACATACATATAATTTACTACTGCTTTCGGTGGAGCCTATACACTAGATATATAGACTATTTCTGATTTGTTATATTTGCTATGTTATATTGAAGTTTTTGCAAATATAAATATCTCCATATCGTCGATAAGTTCCATCGCCTTATACCACTCAACTACCCAATTAGTACATGCCAATTAAAAAATTATTGTGTACTCACGATGAGGCATCTACGACGAGGAAGTCTGTGTAGAACTTAAGTAGCTCACCACCAACGACATAACCAAGCGCAGGTCCTATTATGGCCATGGTGTAGTATATACCTATGTATCATAAACTTATTTTCACCATAAAGCAAATTCATATTTTCATTTATGTTCTTTAGAATATTCTTAAGCATCCAATATTTTTGTTATCGTACAATAGCAATATTATAAAATGCGATATCGCATTTCTATGACATGGTAGCCTCCAAAAAATGAGAAAGTAAAATCAACGAATCATATACATTTTTTAAAAGTTTGTAATATCTATTATAGTCCACCAACCAATGTAGAATGAGTGTTATCATCAAACTATAGTACGGAAATTGATTAAGTTCTAGTATAGATGGCTCTGCTAAGAAGTTTTCTTATATTTTCAACTGAAATAAATTTTACTCGTTTCGTGGAAAAAAAAATTCCACGAGATGCAACTAACGATCAAGCTGACGCCCCCAGTTGCAAAGAGCATATGCTGCGGTGCATTATTTGTATAGTTTCTTTCAAGAAACAGCTTGTATGCGCATAAAGAAATGAAGTAATCTATCAATGTATACTACACATATTTTTCGTTGAAAAGAGCGAATTCTCTCTACTGTTGCTATAGTAAGCACAATATTGTAAACGTTAATATAAGAGTGCTGTTATATTGACGTTATTAGGAAAATGAGTGAAAAATTACTACTAACATGAACTTTACATCCCGAACAGAAATTTAGTCAGGCTGCCTGATGTCGTATCAGGTCCGGATCAGGTATCGGTATGGCATGCCTGATCAGGATAGTCGGATGAAGCCCAGATCCTGCCCTTCTCAAGCAGAAATTTATTCCGGCGGGGATCCGGGCCGCATCAGGCTGTCCCTAACTGATAATCCGGCCCAGATCATGCCGCTCTTCCGGCCCAGATCATACCGCTCTTCCGGCCCTGATGTGGCATGTAACGGCATTTCTGATCCGGCCCTAATCAGGCTACTTGATCGGGCCCACATTAGGGAACATATGTGGTCCTGATCATGCCCTGATTGGTATTATATCCGTATGCCTGATATTGATACACATTAGATACATATACAGACGTTAAAATGACAAACAGGTAACATTTTAGTAGTGGAGTAATTCAGTGTGACGTATTAGGCCTTGCTTCCAAGGGGTGGGAGAATTCCTGCAAATTATAAATTAGTTTGTTGATTCTAATAGTATATTGTGCACCGAGAGCGAAAGCGGGCGTTTCTGCGCCGCCGAGAACCCCTCGGCTTCGCCTCGGGAGCCTCAACTTTATACAAGGCACAAACGCCCGTTTTCTCTCGCGGTTCACATACTATTTTCTTCAACAGCGGAGCGAACGCGAGTTTTCACGTAGTGGGTGATTCTTGGGTCGTTCTGATTGGTCAACTTTGACCTGCTCCCATTTAAAAACTAAGAGCTTTCGGACAAAAGGAAGGTGATTTCCGTGATCACTGAAGCCTCCCGAACACCGCCATGCCCACAGGGGCAGGTAGTTTCGGAACACCTTGTATACAGAATGGTGCAGAAATAATAACATTCATATACTGTAAAACGAGCAAATAACGCTTCCTATTATTCTTGTACAGTGCGACACACAAGTTACGCATACGTACACATATGGACTTATAGTCAGCTGTTTCGAATAGATTAACATTGTGGTTGGGTCTTGCAAATAAATTCATTGCGATAAATGATAGTATAAATCTTGTTAATAAACCGTTAAATGACGTAGCAAGAGAATAGATATGCTTTAAAAATGTTTTAAAAACTATAGATCTATTATATACATTTAACTTTTACGATTAGAATTATTTAGTGTTAAGAATGAAATATTCTTTACCTAAGTAAACAGATGACATCTTCTTTGACACGTTTTCGTCCAAATACGTGACGCCGAGGGTGAAAAATGGTGCCGCACCGGCGCCATGCAACAATTGTGCCATCAAGAAGATGACCAAGTAGACGCCACTATAGGGCTCGAGCTCCACCTGGTCAGGAGAACCATCGCATATCTCCTGTTTGCAAAAAAATAAAGAGAGGAACGAAAACAATTTTAAATATTTTCCTAATAAAAAATTGTACCAAATTTTAGATAAATAATATTAAAATTGACATATAAAACATTGTATTACTTACTGTGTTTGACGTGTTATTCGTCATCCTTTTGCATACATTTTCTGATTGATCGCCACCCCGATATGGTCCGCCGAGATAATGAGGTAACGCGAACAATAAACTACCTAAACCTAAGACTAGGATACCCACTCCGATGTACCTGTGCAAGATGATAAATCGATAAACGTAATACGTTCTTGTATTTGTAGTTTAATAGTGTATATATTTGCAAATAATGTGATGTTATTATTTTGTTAATGAATGTCAAACTACATCAAAGATGCATACTAACCTGGGTTTGGATGCATTAGAGCGACCCCCTAGGTAGCTGACCGGTACTAACAAGAGAAAACTAGCAATGTCGTATCCTCCAGCTATCAAACCTGTCTCTGACGATCGCAAACCAAATCGTCTCTCGATCGTCGTTATGACAACATTGATAAAGCCGTTGACAACCATCCCTGAAAAAAAATGTAATATAAAGAAAATATTTGAATGATAATTATTAGTAATTAATCACAATGTATAGTGTCACTAGTGATATCTTAAAGAAATATAACGCTGTTAAAAAAAGACGTTGTTACGGGACGCGTCATCTTGACGCATTTCGAGTTTCACAAGGAAAATTACAGAAAACGTTTACATTTCTTTCCTATCACTTATACTGACTTTAATAAATGTAATGCTATATGTATAATGTTAAATATTATAAGTTAATCGTTTATAATTATGTTGTTTTTGAATAAAATAAGTTGCAGTTTCGTTCACGCGTTAATTTGACACGTGTCAACAGAGATAGGTATACATGAAATGTCCGTAAACCTAGTGTTAATGCGGCTAAGTTAACATGTTGTAACTCAGTCTATCATTGTACAGTCGCACAGGATGTAACATCATAATTTTATCGGTCCTAGACAAGACATTAAATCCTTGATGATTAATATTTGATGACGGTACTTTAACCGTATATGTAACGTAAAATAAACATAATGTACTATACTAATTTATTTTACATTATTTTTTCACCTTTTCATACTTCGCTACTCACAGCCGTTAAATCAAAAATCGACATTGAATAAGATATAATAATATAGCGCTTCTTAACCCGATCAGGTTATCGTTTTTTTTGGCACCTTCTTAGGTTATCGTAGGTCGTTTCAGACCCAAGGCATGTTAAAACGCTCAATGATCAATAAAAAAACTGGTAAAATTCCTGTATACTCTTAAACACTTCTCCTTTAAGGGCAGATCATAAAGATTGCAAAAAAAATTTAAACACTATTTTATTTTTAGTGATAAACACACCCACCTCCCGGTAATGCAGACATTTACTAAAAAATTCATAACTTTTGAACAAATTGAGATATTTGAATTTTTCAAATTGTATTATAAAGTACAAAATGCTTAAGTTTGAAGTGTCAATTAGCGCTTTTTTCGAAAGAGGAAATTTGAAGTCACAAGAAATAACTCGATATATTTCGATGTATAAAAATTTCATTTTTGTAGAAAATCATACATTTATGAAAAAAAAGAACAATATGTTCACGCCTTAAGTTCTATCATCTTATAATTACTAACAGTCTCTGCAACATGTGTAACGGTGTTTTTCGCAAACGGCCAACCTACACTTGATACAACATTGGTTCGTTCTCACAGATTGCACGCTGCGCCATGCTACAAGAGATGAAAAAACGATATATGACTCAAAAAAAGAAAAATACTAGTAAAAAAAATCTTTTGAAAATACTCATAAACTTCATGAGAATTCAAAAACTAACCTTCACGCTCAAAACGAGTTTGCACCAAAGTTAAAGTTATCGTGGGTCGTTTTAGACCCAACGCGAACTTGACCTGCTCACTACGAAGGTCAGGCTATCAATGGGAAAACGCGATTCAGCACCGAGGGTCCTCTAGTCCTAAAGTTTTTTGGGGTGGGGATAGATATTTCCAGGCTACACGGATTCTGAGTAATGAGACAAAAGAAAAATGCCTAGGATCTGAAATGACCCACGATAACCGAATCGGGTTAAGATTCTAAATGAAAGATGCGAAATGTGTGATTTCAAAATCGCCTTCTGTATTTATTCGTGTGAAAACTAAATAGCTGTTCTAATTATATATAAATACGATAATACAATATTGTAACTAGGACCAATCCCGTAGAGCCTCTTTAATAGTAGCACCTCTATGGCTCTAGGAAGTCCGGCACTATCGTCGATTTGCATATTTGTGTTCAGCAGCAGGTCCGTATGTACTGTTATGCCGTGAGGATGTTATAAAATAATCTTCAACACTTTTAATAATACTAAAATAGCAAAAGCAAACTATTTTTTATTGTATCTCTGTTTCGTTAACAATGGCACAATTTTATTCTATTTCCCTTCCTATGAGTGGACGATGCTCACTCGGAGCCTACAGTTCGACGACTGGCTCTTTGTTGCGTCTAAATAATGAAGAGCTTCTACGCCTTAGTACAATCTTTGCTGGCAAAGGGTTACTTATCGTGTGGTACTAAGAATGCTAACCTAGTAAATAATTAAGTAACGCTTAGGTGCATAACAGTACATACATAGTATACATACAGTTCTAATATAGTCCATTCGACGAAATCAGGAAGGAAAACTTACAACACACTCTCGGAACTGGCTGGATTAGGGTAGAAAGTTAGGGAGATATTTCGCAAATAAATATTACTCAAATGAAAAGAATAAAAAAGTATAGAGGCTCAAGAAAGTAAACTGTTACTTTCGTATTATCTATTGACTTGGTATCTGTGTATCTGTATTCATCAATTTAAGAGTTTATCATTTTCTTTTAAAGTAAATAGAATATTTCTCCTCCAGATACAACAATGATACAATTAGACACGACTGTCACTCATACTTTCGAGTATGATTACAATTATTGCCTTCCGGGGTGGAGCCGAGTCTGGAAATTTTAACTTGCCGGCGTTTCCTAAACCTTGCAACTTGCGTTATGAGAGCTTAGAAGGCATTCGGATACTGATGCATGTTGGCAAAGGTTATCATTTATATGGGACCTTGTAGCGTTCATGTATGACATGTTTGGCCAGTCAGGTATTACGCTAATTTTAGATGGTCAACGTAAATAAAAAAATTTGTAAAAAAGTTCATCAGATTGGATGAATTTGGTATCCTTTATCTCCATTGAGATTATTTAGGTGTTTTTGAATTTTCAAAGCTTCGCAAAGAATTCTGGGAAAGTGACTTAAAGTTAGCTAGGAACGTTGTATGGTCGAATCAAACTTTGAGTCCTGTTTCGAGGTGGTCTTCTGCTAAGGCTGAATTGCTGAAAATTTGGAGTCTAAAGCATCGTTCGTGTTCCTTAACGCGTATGCTAATCCTTCTCCCGGTTTCACCGACGTATATTTTGGCATACGTACATAGTATAAATCCTGCTAAGCTGAGCTTCCGAATATTGTCTTTGGAAGATGTTAGGATTTGTGAAATATAGCGAGGAGTTTTGAAATTTGGTTCAAACTTCAAACGTAGCTCTAATTTGAAAGCTAATTGTAACTACTGTCATTTGTATATCATTGTCGAAAATTCTTGAATTCTAATTGCACAATTGTAATTTTCATACGCGATTTGAATTTTAACTTATATAAGTGCGGTGATTCAGATTAATGCAGAGAAAGTGAAAGGTAAACCAAGAGTTACGGTAAAAGAAACAGAAAGGATAAGTGAGAAAAATCGTAAGAATTAACAAACTAAGTACACGGGCATCCGCAACCAATTCTGCTTGCTTTGATTTTTTACTCTCGTCAAAAGACTAACTTGGTTTTCTTGAAAAATTCCGAACGCCCTTTTTTTCCCTTCAATATTTTATTTAGGTTTTCTCATGCCCGCAATTGCTTACGGTCTCACTCTTTCTCTGACTATTCACTTCCCTTGATTTCACATAAAGCTCTGTGGCGTCACCCCAGTTGAAGTTATTCTACGCGGCAAATTCGATTTCCGATTATCGAGAAAGCCGACCTTGTCCCTTCATGACGATTCTGAAAGCTATGAAATTACATTTGCATGCAAGAAATCCATCAGTTTATTGCGAGAAATGCAAAAGGTGTAAGTAAGAACAACACGTTTTCGTTTTCGTTAGAAGAATTTCTAGCCAAACCTATCGAAATGCTGTACATGCTTACTAAATGGAATTCTACTGTATAGCTAAATTATATCCAATAAGACTATCACACACTACGTGCATACTTCCTAAAGGCATGACGAAATCCAGCACAAGTACAAAATTCGAGAATAGCAAAATATTGATTTTCGGAATTCCTCGTCATAATTTTCTGAGTCCACGAGTTACTCACGAGTCCTCACCATAAGTTTTAAAGTCTAGGGGTTCGTTGTCACAATTATCGGTGTCCATCAGTTCCTCGTCAGAGTCTACGAAATCTATACGAGTTGGTCATCAAAGATTTCAGAGTATAGCAAAAGTATAACATTCTAGTATAGGAAACATTTACTTAAATCTTTTATCTTTGGTGTGCGTTGAGTATAGCAGACGAGAACTCGTGGACTTCGACAACTGTGATGACGAATCCCTGGACTCCGAAAATTATGACGAGGAACTCTTGCACTCTGAGAACTATATCAACGAACCCTTGAACTTTGGCAACTATGATGAGGAACTAGGCTCTCTGGCCAGGACAGGAACACTCTGGAAGCTATAATGAGCAATTTCTGGACTCAGTAATTTGCTAATCTCAAATGCTATACCTATACAAGATTTGGTAATATATTTGAGAAGTATGTCTGTAGTATACAATAATATCATTGACTATACGTTATAAAAATTTTTTGTAAATGAATACGAATATGAGAAAGTATTATTAGCTACGTTTATGAAAAATTGCTTCAAATACTTGTACAAACAACTCATTTAGGCACATCATTTATTGTTATCATGTATTATATTATATTTCCATCTATACATAGGCAGCAGTTTCATGAAAGGTGAAATAAGGAGGAGAAAAATGTAACAGTTGTTCGCCGTGCACTTTGCAAATTTGTAAGGAATATTTTGAAAAAATTTAAATGTAATCCATTCCAGATTAATTTAATATCGTTTGCTTCATTGTTAAAATGATTGTTAATATCATAGAAAGTCCAAGATGTCTATCCATAGTCTCTAGGTAGTAGACCCTAAGGCGAGTAAATCCTTAATCATTGCAGCCAGCATTCTTATTAGGTAAGCGAAACTAATTTAATCCGGTGAAAATAATAAAAAAAGACGACGTCAAATAGTACATGTGTTAGGAATTGGAAAGAACAATCGCACTTCACCATCTATATTAATATTTGCTATCTTTATTTTACTTCCCCTTTTGTGCGCTGTGATTTTAATAGAAAATACATATGTAAATCGTTGGTCGGTATCAAAGATTTCTCTCTAAAATTATCCACTAGAACCTAAATTATTTGTAGCCGTTTATTAAGTCTCATTAGTAATAGTTTATAAACTCAATGACTACGCTTAGAAAGTTAGAAAACTGACAACTGATCAGGTAAAGGCTGTCATCTTATACATCTTCCAACTATTTAATCTTCGTCTTTCTTTGCATACATGTGTCTCGTTGCCTTCTTGAATTGTTGATATCTTAACAGATTTTAATCCGAAAATACATTGTGAGCTAGATCAGATTTATCGACGATCTAAGATTTGCAGCGAAATGGCTCATACGTCCGCCTGATAATGTAGTGGGAGCATAATTTTCTCACCATTCCTCAATTACTCAATCTATAATATGTATATATGCATTTATAACAATTCAATATAACCGTAAAAGCTTTCTTGGTTGTGTAGAACGAAAGCTCTTTGTATAGTTGCAAGGATATAAAGGTCCATTAAATTAAACAAAAGTACAAAATCCATTAAATGCAAATGTGGATGTGTCTAGACACATGCACGAATATTAGAAACACATATGCACGTACATTTTTTCAATTTTTAAATTTATATGATCAAATTTGGAAAACTTTTCGTCTGATTTTGTAAATATATTTTAAATATATATTAAAAATGTGATTATAGTATGTACACATAAGTTACTATGTATGAAAGCCAATATGACTGTATACTATTGTATACTATACATACCGTTTAATTCGGTTCAATAACCAAAGCTATGGATCGATATATCAAAAATAGAAAATAACATTTACGTCGCTGGTTCAAGGCGAGTGTGTTTTGACACGCGTTGATGCAGCCGATAAGCATCGTGACGCTTTCTTTACTTTGCTTACTTCATAACTAATTATTATTCTTTTTTTACTGCGATATGTGTACAATATTAGCGGTCATGTGGATATAATGGATATAAACAATATTTTTTAAATAAAAATTTCGTTCTAAATATAGTTACTGGTAAAATATTAAATGTTTAATTCATCAGAATATTATAGATTGAAAAGTTATGAAATTATTAAAATATTGATCTGATACTTACACACAGGGGAATTACGTGTACATGCAACAGCGATTTTCTTAATATCTCAACAAAATATGAAACAAAATAAAGTAAAAAGTTACATCATTTCGATAAAAAAAAATGATTATTTTGTAATTCCTGTTTTTTCATATTACCACTTTTATAAAAAAACCAAGGTCGTATTTATTTTCCTAATGAAACACTTTTTATTTCGAAATTCTCTTCGTCTCTTACATCTAATATATTTCGAGTTATTAATGTTACTTCAACACAATTTTTCATCAAAGAGATAATATAAGTAAACCTATAGCAAAGTTTTCCAATGCTAATGCTTTTTTTACTAAGGATAATGAATGGTTTTCTAATGATTCCTCTTGATTTATTACACTTCATCTTTGGTAAGAAAGCATTGATAATGCGAAGTTTTTCTAAGGAAAAATAGTAAATAAACAAAGAAACTGAATTTCTGACACATTGGAAAAAGCACCTATATAACAAATGATACTGTATCTCCTTTACTGAATTCCTTTATCTGCTCTACTTATCTACTCTAGCCATCAATTGTATATGTATCGAATAGTTGTGAATGTACCACATTAATCATTTAAAAAAAATGTTTTTACGCGACATTTACATTTCTCATATTTGGATGTCAAAATAGATTTCAAACTAATAAAACAATGTTTTATTTAAACAAATTAACATGATATTAATATCTCATAAGAATCGTAAATTGGAGAAACCGTATTTTAAAACCCATGTAACTTTTTTTTTGCTATCTCTACATATTTAAGGGATGTGTAAAAAAGTCGTAATTACTACGTAAATACCTTGTAAATTATAGTATTAGTGCATGTTTTAATTATCCTATACTGCTAAGGTGCTAATGTTATAAGTGATTAATATTAAATTACTACCAAATCAAAAAAATCGTATATAATTCTGAATGTTACTAATGACATGCATAATTGTTAATTAGGTTCATACATAAAGTTTCTTCTTCCGATTTTCAGAATTAATAAAATTTTTATCAAAAAACATTTTGAGTCAAATTCATTTATAGTCACTGACTAAAAAAGAATATTTGTTTAATATCACATCCTGAGAAGTTGTTACCAAAGTGAAAGTTATTTATCTAGGATTAATATAGAGTATACATATAACTGATCAATCATATATAGTACAAGTTTTGTTGAATTAGACCTCCACCAATTTTTCTCAAATATAGCCCAACTCTTGCTCTACTTAGCTATTATTTCATTATAAGGGTAGATTGGTCTCAAAATCTAGGGTCAAGTGGCTTTCTGAAGTGAATGAAAATCGAAAGTAAATCCTATCCCTTATACAGATCGGTGATCTAATAAGCTTTACACTTGATGTATACTTCTGTTAAACTTCATCAAAACTTCATATAACGAGTTGAAAGTCTAGAATAATCCTAGAGTAAAAATTAGACAGGCTTAATAAAGCGGCTTCACTTGAACTTATTCTTGACTTGCAGTAAACTTTAGCTGGATTTTCTACTAAACTGAAACTATAATTTATTTGAAGATTCTAGAGATATTCATCTGAACTATCAATCCTCGACTTGCGCAGTAAATTTGTTCTGGAGATTTCCATACATTCGCTACAAATCCGCTTAACTGTGTACATTGAGGACTTAATGTACCTGCTTTAGATCAAATATGTTTGCTAGGTATTGTCCATGCGCAAATACGTATTCTTATCAGACATTAAGTACAAACATAAACAATATTATCAATTTACCTTGCACAGCTCCAGCCCAACACAACCAAAATAAGGCCCATTTAGCGGTGCGAAACTTTTGTAGACAAATTGGTCTGAACCATAACCATCCGCATTGTTGATTGTTCGCTGATTGATCAGTAACATCTTTCACCACTTCTGGCTTGAAATCCATTTTGCGAGGTCCATCTCCGAATTGATCCGGAAGTCCCGTCATAGTCTCGTTCATGTCCGGAACGTCCGACTGTAAAAATAAAATCATTTAAACAGGCTATGTAAAACTTCATTTACTCAGGCATTTATAACGATTTAATGTATTCAGGTTTTGCAATTGGTCACAGATTAAACTCATAACGATCATTTCCACTTTTCATGTACGACTTTTCTTCGTACAGATCGTTAACGATGAATTATGTACGAGTTTTTTGCTTTGCGTCACGTGTGATGTCAGTAATTAAGTTTTCTCAAGACATCACTTAATCACATTCTTCTTAGAAATTTTTAATATAATACAAGGAATATAATTGTGTGTAACTTCTTTTTAATTTGTCAAAAACTATATTTATAATTTGCGAAATCGCAGATCGACTATAAAGCATTTAGAATTTACAATGTTTTAAGTGGAAGAAAATAAGTTTAACACTGCTCTCAAATGTTTGAATATGAAAAATAGAATCTTATATGAATGTAATCGAAATAAAAGATAAAATTACACACACTCAAAAACTTTTAAAGCAAACACTTAAAAATAATCGTTCCAGTGGATATGTATTAAACAAACTCGAACATAACATAAGTGATATACTAAAATAACATAATTCAGCCAAAATTCAAAAAAAGATACGCGAATTAGATATTTTCTTGCTGCTTTTGTTTAAATCTTCATATTAGAACGCAACTGCGATCAACAACCGGATGGGAATGTATCGTGTGTGCACTAAAACGTGTCAAAAAGGTATATATCCATGCTTCTATATATGTATATCTGTATAATATGTGAAAGTTCCTAAGTAAATCTTGTATGTACCCAACTGGAAATGAATCGGTAACAAGTATTTGTTTATGCTATGTATATATACAATTAATCATTTTTCAGGACTCACATTACACGCAAATATATTCCGCATAGTTTATTTGACGTTATGAAATGATACCGTTAAAGATGTGATTATGATAACAGACGGTGAAAATTGTTGAAATATAACACAATTATTTACATTATAAACTTATATACACTCCGACGACAGTATTACGAATTAAATTTTCCGCGCCAAAATGTTTGCGAAATAATTAAATATTATTAATGAATAATTGTTCAGTATAAACAATTCGTTATTGGTTAATTTTATACACATGTATATATACTTTTATTTTGATTTCATCTTCCATTTCCTCTCTTGATTGCCCATTCTTTCATAATATTACCAAATCAAGACGCCTAGCAATGAAGAAAAGAAAACATGGATTTCAATGAGTTCATCTCATTCAATTTAGCGCAATTCAGAACCCACTTATGAATTTATAGATAAATAAGAAATTACTTATAGGATTCTGATTGCAAAGACGTATTGCATATAAAGTTGAAAACGGTGACGTCCTGAGTCAATCTTCACGAATATTACATAACATTCAGTTGAAACATTTACTAAACATTCGCCATTTCCAAATTACGCACTTTAAACCTGTCCCGCGCTGTAATATTCACAAAAACATTTAATTCGTTAAATTATTGTTATATGCCTTAATGAACCAAACAAATTGTTCGTTAATAAGCTTGCATCGCTATCGCTTGCATATTTACATTCACAGTTAATTTCCACTATTTGCATTAATATTTTGAATTTTTCATTTGTGATTTTATTTTGCCTTTAATTTACAGTTAGACATTTTTTTTTGTCAAAGATCAGTCACAATGTTGAAAGTCACTTAAAAACTCAATATATTTTATATCGTTGCTGCAGCAGCACGTATGTCACAAAGGATAATAATTATCGTATGTAGTGATACTGGTAAAGCCACTACCGTCTACTCTAGGAAGTAAAGATATGCGATTACATCGGGTCGCGTGTGATGCGCGACTGATGATGCTTCTGGCAAGAAACGCAAGACTAACGCCTGAGTACCACGTTCGGAGCACTTCGGGTGCACTTCGGCCTTTTTCGCGGACGGCGCTATCCTTGTGACAACCATCTCCTAACCACTGAAACCATCCACTTTTCCTAACCCCTAGCTGTTGCTTCAGTGGTCCTAAAAAAGAATCCATTCACGTAAAGTTTCAACACGCTTGCATACCGTATACTATTTTTTTTTTTAATTTTTAACTGCTCTTAGAGTTCAACTTTCCAAACTTTGTAAATCTCTTATCATTTCTTATCACGATACTATAGATTAGTTTTCCTGCAATTACTAGAGATGACACTGTTAATCTGGCTCAAAAATATTTTTTAATAGGTTTTACCTTCCTTGAAAATATTTTAGATGCCCATAATGTCACTACCTTAAATTTTTAGGTAATTTTACAGTCGTTTGTCCGAAAAATAATATTGTAAGGTGCCTTTTAGCAACACATTACGAGGTATTCTTTGAACATTTGTTATAAGAATTATATATACAGACTATGACATCATAATAAACAAATTTAAAATGTGTAAAACTATTATAATTTTCTTCCAGCGGAGTCATGCAAATTTTATTTATGCACGTTATACAAGAGAGTAGCTGTCGGGAAACTGACATACACTATACATATCATGATATTGCTCGTTTTCATTATGTGACATTTTTTAAACTTGTCGACCGACGCTTTCCACTTTTCTATCTAGTTATTCCAGTACAAGAATAGCAATCTATAAGTTTCATGGAAATATCCACGTTGTACACTGTTATGAAAACATTAACAATACTAGTACAAATTCCTAGTTAGATATGCAAACGCAAAAATATTAAATTATAGTTGTGTCATTTAATCTCAATTACATCGGATACCTTACACTTGTCATTGTCAATAATAAAATAAACGAGCGCATAACATCTCGTCATTTTAAGAAGAATACTTTTCAGGTATGTACTTGATCTACTCATGAACTTTTGCTATTTCTTAAAAGTCGTAACTTACATTAAGTTTATTTAAGTCAGTACGCATTGTAGCTGATAACAGATAATGAGAAAGCATTACGAATTTACGATCGCAGTAACCTAGGTGGTATGAGGTGTCTACGTATTTCAAATAAATCAGTCCGATAACGGCGCGTCTAAGCAGAAGGTACTATCTTCTCCGTGAAATATATTAAATAGATATAATAGAGTTGTATTTACGTCCTAATATACATAGATATACATACCTAATGTAAAGTATACTCAAATGCATATTTAAATGAACAGTTGTCATGGTCAGGACTGGATAAAATTTTCGATAGCATGAGCTTGCAAAACTTGTAAATTTATTTTTATACGTACAACGTATTCAATGCTTACTTTAATAAGTTTTCAATTATAAATTTTCATTCTTAAATTTTCGTCTTTTTTTGGCTTTCTTCTTTTGTCTCGTCTGTCGAAAAGAGAACTTACAATGAAAACAAAATAGTTTCACCGTCTCTACGTACAAACAAAACATATACACGAAAATACAGATTCCAACGGATAAAGATTTCTTAAAAAGATAAATGAAAGTGACTTGAACAGGGTGGTTCATATCTTAAAACCACTTTCTTCCTGTAGAGAGTTGTGTATTATCTCCTTTCTTAAATACTCACTTCCTCTTTCGAAGCCCACGCCTAATTCTATTCGACCTTTCTTGCCTCATTCATAAAAGCTTGAACGGACTTCAGAATCAAGAATAATTGAGCACTTATGGAAACGAGCATGAATTTTGCACTACACAGAACACACGTACGTATTTACTCACAGACGTACTTAACGATCGTTATCCAATTGATAAACAATACGTAACAGCAAATGAGGGAAACATCAATAATCAATTTGCGTTGAATAACAAAATTGATCGAGGAAATTATTTCTTTAAATAGACCATCTTTGTTTTCTTCATTGCAAAACTTCAATCTTATGTTTTGAAAATGCCCTTCCATTTTTTACGTCAATCTCGATTATCAACCCATATGAAAATAGACGTACAGATCTGCGCATAAAAAGGTTACATAGCGCCATACAAAGTAGCATACACACATGCAAGCACACGTGCGCGCGCACGCATATAGAATAGAATATACATAAAAGATTGTGGTATGAATGCACGTGTACGCAAAGACTGCAGGCGCAACATGAACGTACGTTCGGATTTGTAAAGCTGTGACATTTGTTTGCTGGGGGCAAATGTGAATCAAACGTAAGGTCGAAAGAGTAGGGTGAGGTTCTCAGCCAGAAAAGCACAGTAGGCCAATAGGCGTCCACGCTAGCCACGCGAGCCACACGCGACCGCTCGTGGTAATAAACATCCTAGAATTAATAAAGATTCATGGCTTCCGTTTGCCCCGTAGAAACCAATTAAGTTCTTGAATTTGAAGGAGAGTGTGTTTGAACATGGTAAGTGTCACATGGGTGGTCGGAGTGTTTTGAGACGTAGGAAGCTTTTAATAAATTCTTATTGAATTTATTAAATAAAGCTATGAACGTCTATGGAGCATTTACATCTTACGTTGTGACGTATAAAATGTAATCTACAGTTACGTATGCGTAATACGTAACGCACGAATCGTATATCTTGTCTACGTATCGATTATACGTGCTGTACTTGTTCAGATTATTACTTATATATTTTAAGGCAATTATATTGCCCTTATGGAATCGTGTTATCTTGATTCCGTGGGACTGCATCATTAACTGTTCCTCCCTTCGGTAAAATATGGATGAGTGGATATTCGATTGTTTTTATCGAAAATTCTTTAAAGTCTGGTAGCACTTTATTCTTATTCTGATTGGTCGGTTAGTCAATCCCGTATAGACTTGAAACTGTTCCTGTTGTAAATTTCTGCTATATTTACGTAACTGTAATTGACGTGTGATACATATTTATGTATCAGCAATATTATATTTTATTGTAAAAATTCTGAATTTGAGTATCAGACTTAGCCAGCGCGAGATTTGATTCTAGTTATTTGAAACTTTTAGTTGGAGATTCAAAGAAGTATGATAAAGAGTATATCGATAGGTATATTGATTGTGGGTTATAAAAAGAATTCAGAGCTTTTATGTAAATCGAATCTTATTAAGAAGCTATACATACACTCGAAAAAGTGCAAAATCCAGTAGGTTTAATTTTACGTGTTTATTTATTTGCAGCGTATTTCAAAAAAAACAAACAGTGTTTCTTACAGCGAAATCAAAGTGGCATAGGCTCCAATGGACCCCAAGGTACCGTTTGAGGTTTAATATATACTTTTTGTCCTCTATTTTATTTATTTCTTTGTGTTTACTTTTTCGCATGACGCTTTGAGAAAATTCATTTAGATGACAACGAAATCAGAAGTCTGTGAATTTCACTGACGTTAAATCAAACTGGGCAGATGTAGGGCGTTCCGGGGTGGCATGAAAACATCAAGGTGAATCGTGCGCAGATGAAAAGGAGTTGGAAAATACCAATTGTGCTTGGAACTCGTACAAAGGTCTTTTGAAAGATTCGTTCTTATTCTCAAAGAGGACGTAGGCGTTGCGACGCACAAAGGCATCATAATCCTATGATAAACAGTAGACGGAGAGAATTAAATACTAAAAATTCCTGCAAAATTTACAATAAATATTATTATAAAAATAGTAACCTCGTGCCATCTTGTCATATTAATGTAGTACCTAATCTTTCGTTTGTCACAAGCAAATTTTCCAACCAACAGAGTAAAAACAGCTAATAAACTTTTACAAGTACTATAGTAAAATATAACTGCTGACAATTAAAATTTTCTGTAAATCTAGTCAAAAGTAACGTCCTAGGTTAATCTTCGACTGTTATCGCATACGGAGGATATGCTGATTCGGCTAAAGATAGCCGAAGATAGACCGTTGTCAATTGATTATAGTACTTTCAGTATGGTAAAATTTACAGACTGCAAAATAAATTGTAACTATCTATCAGTTCACTTATATCTTTAAATTTAAAAGAGTCCAAAAATCGGACTGAATTAGGTATATTTTAAAGTATCTTAAAATTCCCCATGCGACAACGTAAGATTTAATGTCATCTGCAGAATATGTGGCTATAATTACATTATTATTTCAAATTTAGATCTATACTGTAGACTACGGTGTCATGAAGTCCCACAATTACCGTGACAGTCATGATAATTTTTATTATAAAATCTTCTCCATGTACGCGTATCGTACAGGGCTAAGTTTGTCGCATACAGGAAGTACTATATAAATTCATATATCTATGTACACACAATGTAAAACAAAATTGTGAACCGTTATACAATTTATATTTCAAATTAGAGTAACACGGTAACATACAGTATCAACACCGTAATTAAGAAAATTCGAATAGTGATCAAAATAATATTTTGTTCACATATCCTTAATTCTCGTGCGATAGAATTCTAATTATAACAGGCAAGGTATCGAATCCGTGCTTTATACTTTCCACCAACTTAAAAAACTTAACATAATATGTTAAATGAGATTTGGCGTTGGGAAAGTGCAAACGGAATAAAGAATAATAAATTTTGAAATATACATTTTTCAAACTGCAGTGTTGTAATAAAAGAAAATATTGTTAGTCCTCTTTGGTATGTGTCGACTGATATAGTATTCATGTTGTAAGCGTTACATATTCACATTATGCTTTTCTGTATTTCATAATAATTCTTTCTATATGTTTCTGATAAAATCGACGATATTGGCATTGTTCAGCATTACTAGACACTTGCTTTTATTTATGAATGCTCATCGAAACATCAACTGGGCACGCCCAATTAATATAGACGAAACTCTTACAATGTTCTTGAAAATCTTACATTTTAATATCTTCGACGTCGCAGCATGGCACGTCGCGTTGTTATGCCACTCTTCGTAATTGCGAAACAATTGGATGCCCGCGGTGGCACCCTCTGCTGTTCCCTCTTTGACGCAAATGAACAGTTCCGCAAAGCGTCTATGCGTCTATATTTATTATCAAAATAATATAAAAACCTGGATAGGCAAGCATTCTTCTAGCTTGTCCTCGGAACATCTTACAATTAGTTTAGTAATTTTGTAGTATAGCATACTACCATGACTCCTGTTTAATTTCCCTATTTTAGTTCAATATACTTTCCTGTTCCGTGCTTCAACATGCTTTCCTTTAAATTTGTTGAAATACTATTTATTAATATAATATAACTTTTTTCTACTTTTCAATTTTTTCGACAGATTTTATAAATTAGTATATAAACCCTTTCGTAGGCAAGTTTTTTTGCATATGCTTTATAAATAAAATTCACATTACTTATATGATAACTTAGAGAAGGCTAGAATGCACAAAAAATATCAGATTTTGAAAAATGGCCCATTCTAAAAAGCAACTCTTAGGCTAGAAAATCATGGCTGAAATAATAAAAATTTATATCCCGGGAGTCTTATCGATTCACGAGAATTCATTTTTAAGATAAAGCTCTAAGAAGCCGTTCAAATAAAAGGAAGAACCTTTAACCCATTTCCATCACACGGAAAAGTGGAAAATTCGTTCTTGACACCAAAAGTTTTTTTGATTGTATTTAAATAAAAATGTTTCAAAATATGAAAAATAACAACAATATTGCATAAATAAAGAAAGTTAAAGAAACTTGAATCCTTTTCACCAAATCGATTAGTTTTAGTTACAATATGTTCAAGAATTTCCTTGGTCAAAAACAGTTCGTAAACGTTCTCTCTGGTAAAATTTATTATGTTTTTATTTACACCACCAACAGATGTAAATTTATGCAATTTAAGTTTGTCATTTTTTCCTTCCCACTCAAAAACACTCGCACTTTGATCACTATCGCTACTGTCAAAAGAAACCGCAATAAAACGTCTGCGTTTTGTAGGTCTAATTACCTCTTCACTACTGCCGGAAACACAACCGTTCATTTTTTCTACTTTTTTGGGTTATTTTACTCTGAAATTATTTCCGATCACCGCTTTTCATTGACTGCGCGTTCAATATGTACAGGTATAATATGCGCTTTGGTGATAAGTGCCAAAATGCGCACATATATACGCTCTGGTGATAGTTGCCAGGCAAAATGCGCACATACAGTAGTGCGTAATTGAAGTGGAACACTTGAATTTTTGTGTATCTCTACGAAACTATGACCGATTTAAAAAAACCAAAGATATATTTTTTAGGAAATTTCCTTCCCGTTCGAATGATAAAGGTTTTATCCCGATTGAATACAAAATAGCCGAATGGCAGGGGTTCGAGTGAAAAAGTGAATTTTGGAACTTTTTGAAAAATTCGAGATCTAGTAGTTCCGGAAGGAAATTTATATTTCTAATTAGGGCATGAGAGAGAGCATCCTTCGGCATTAAAAAAACACCCCCATTGAACCCCTGTAGGATCACTCTAGGGGGAGTTACACCCCCTTGAAGTGAAAACACTTAAATGGCCATAACTTC